TCAATTTTCAATCGTACAACTTATATTCCAAATTTTTATTCAAAATTGAGACTCGTTTTTGGTATAGTAAACATCCTAATTGGAAAGAATTTATTACTATCAAAGTTGTAGTTCTTTGAGTTATCTTTCCAATGCAATTTGAATTGCCTCGATCGGATATCGAAAACGAACGTTATGATCAAAATACCGATTGCTGTGCAAAGACAAAAAATCTTCGCGCGAAGGCAACTTTCCTTATTCGATTGAAACTCTTTTAGAAGTCAATTTGGACGTGATTTTCAACCAATTTTCGACTCCTACAAATACCTAACAACCGAACACATATTGGAAACCTCTCATATATATCTCATACTCCAATATTCATCAACTATTATCATTAAAGGAGAAAATTCATAGTTTTTGTGAGAGCATTGAAGCGGATTTGCAAGAATTCAATCAAGTGAAGATTTAAACTTGATTTTTGGGCAAAGAAGAGAAGACGCAAGTGGAGATTTATCAAGAAATTATTGAAGAGATTCAAAATTTCAAAATTCATCTTCATCTTCTCAATTTATCAAAAATTCGGGTTATATCATTTAACTTAAATATGATTTCTTGTAATTTCGATATGTTAGACTAATTTTATACATTGCTAGGATGAGATGAACCATTATTATAATATTTTTAATTTTTAATTAATTATTCTGACTTTAATTTGTGGATGTTTATTATCGTTTTTATCGTTCTTTTCAATTGATTGATCACCAATTGAATTTTTAGTAGATTTTATTGTTATCGAGACACAATAGTGTTAAGTACATTTTAATAAACATTGTAAGGTTCGATACAAGATAGAGAGATGCATCTATACTTTATATGGTTTCAATAGGTGTTCTAATACTTGTTAATACATTTATCATATTTGCATATTTCATCGAGAGATAGAAGGGTCACATGAGGGGAATATATTTGATCGCTATCGAGGGATTCGATATCTTAGCAATGCATCTCACATATTTGAAAAACACATTTACTTACTTTCTATTTTAATAGATAATTTAGATATTAGTATAGAAAATTTAAAATTTATTTGTTATTCAATAAAAGTTGCAATTAATTTTT